AAGTCAGGTGCCCATCTTTCCTCTCTCTAGAGCTATGGATAACACAAAAGTATATCTGTGGCAGAGGCTAGTAGCCTTCCCAAGGACTGCCCTCCCTTCTCCCTCACAATGATGGAACCACAGTTATAAACTGGACACATACCTACCCAGCCAGCTACCATTCTAGTTAGATGTGGCCATATAGCTAGATTCTGGCCAATGGGGTATGAACTTCAGCAATTTGCACTTCTGAAGCATGACCATCACCCTATGTGGACATGGTGAGAAGCCATCATAGACCATTTGGATGAAGGATACACTGATGTATGTCAACTATTTCTTGATAAAACTAGGCATTCCCCCCAACACACACACACTCACAGACCCCTGATAATCTCTTCCTATTTCTATCAGGCTCACTAGCCACCAGAACAAGTACATTCCATTTTAAAAGCTCTAATCATTTTATTGATAAATATAATTTTTGTTGTTGTTGTTCCCCCCAAAAAAATTCCCTGGCACTACCAGCTGTCCATGTGCAGAGAGGGTCCAGCAGCCTGTGGGCAGGTGCTAGCCATTGGGAGTGAAAGTACACTGGGGGACCACATGCAAAAAACGGTACTTGAATCCAAGGGAACATGGGTAGAGTGTTGACAAGGCCTGCTTACAAAGGTTCTTCTTAAAATTTTTGCCTGGGGGTCCCAAGTGATTACTTGTGGCACTTATTCATGTGATCTTTTGCATAGGAAACAAGTCCTACCTTCACCTGGACATTTCTATTAGTTATATCTTATGTTTTCAAGGGCCTAATAATATGGCATTTTTGTGGCAGCCACAGTGAGACACAAAGTTATCTAAGAGAAAGAATAACACATTTTAGGAGTTCCTGATAGGGCCCTTTATTCCCCATTCACAGCTCAAAATGTCCAGCAGCAGAAATCATCTACCTGATTCCTGAATATAGAACAACACTGACCAGATTTATTCCATACCTATTTAGGAACAAGCACAGGAATTTCATAATATAAAAAGCACTTAACAATATGGCCTGAGATGGATACACGCAACTCAAAACAAACTAGGGCTGAATGATTGATTGCTACACACACACACTCACACAACCTCCCTCTTCCCATCCCCCGCCTCTTTTAAAAAGCTCACCTAACATCATTTATACCCATTAAATTGGAAAGGATGATAAAGAATGTTAAGTCCTGGTGATGGTGAGGGAGGGTGCAGGAGCACAGGCACTCTTAGGTGCTGCTGATTGGGATGCAAATTATTGCAACACTTCTGAAAACCAATATGGGAATATGTTTCAAAAGATTAAATATAGGGGCGCCTAGGTGGCTCAGTTGATTAAGAGTGTGCCTTCGGCTCACGAGGGTCATGATCCCAGAGTCCCAGGATCGAGCCCCGGATCGGGCTCCCTGCTCAGCTCTGCCCCTCACCCAGTTCGCGCTCTCTCTCTCTCAAATAAATAAAATCTTAAAAAAAAAAAAAAAAGACTAAATATATATATGTACTTTGACCCTCAAAAGATCCATGTTTAGGAAATTTGTGGGGTGTATAAGTTCAAAAATTTTATACATATGTAGATTTAGGTAACCACCAATAGGGTAAGTATACATTAAAAACCTCTGGTTGCTGTTCCTTTATAGTCACCCTCTTCCCACCACAATTCCTGGCAACCACTGATTTGTTTTTCAATCCCTATAGTCTATCTTTTCAAGAATGTCCTATAATTGGGATCACAGTACGCAATCTTCTTTTACTCAACACAAATGCATTTTAGGATCATCTAAGTTGTGTTTATCAATAGTTTGTTTCTTTTTATTGCTGGCAGTGTATTCTATTGTATACATGTACTGTAGTTTATTTATCCATTTACTAGTTAAATGGTATTTTGGTTTTTGGCAATTATGAACAGAGCTGCCACAAACATTTGTGTACAGGTATTTTGTGAACACAGGTCTTCAATTCTCTAGATAACACTAGTGGATTGCTGAGTCATACAGTAATGGTTAACTATTTAAGAAACTGTTTTATTACAAATAGCCAAACTATTTTCAAGATTTACATTCCCACCAGAGTTTACATTCCCAAAGAGTTTCAATTGCTCCACATTCTTATAATACTCAGAATTATATTACTTGTTTTCATCTTCTCGTAGATGTAGTGTTATCTTGATGTAGGAAAGAACATTAGGGTTCCAAGCCGACAGCCAAGAAAGAATTCTTGAGACATCTTTGGTGCAAAAAGGTGGTTTTATTAAGGCACAGGGACAGGATCTGTGGGCAGAAAGAACAGCTGCACCAGGATTGTGAGGGGAGACTGATTATATACTTGGGAATTGGGGGAGGTAAGGAAAAGGGAGGTTTCAAAACAACTTTCATGCGCTAAAGGAGACCTACAAGATAGGAGGTCTTGCCATTATCAAGGTTGTTTTTTCCTCTAGCAAAGCATTAACATTAAGAGAGTTGGGAGCTTCCTGGAAGAATGTCACATATATCCCACCCAGGAGTGGGGGAGGGAGGCAGTTTGCTGGATATCAGCTTGTGCTTTGTCCTTGGCTAGCCTTCTGCTCCCTCATCAGTCTCGTCATGGTTTTAAAGTACGTTTATCTTGTGATCAATTGTGTTAAATATCTTTTCATGTGCTTATTTGCCACCTGTATATTATCATCAGTGAAATGTCTGTTCATGTCTTTTCTCATTTTTAAAATTTTTTTTTTATTGTTGAGTTTGAGAGTTCTTTATAATTCCTTTGTCAGGTATATGATTTGTAAATATTTTCTACCAGTCTGTAGCTTCTGTTTCATTCTTTCAACAGTGTTTATTTGGAGACCAGAATTTTAAATTTTAGTGAAGTACAATTTATCAATATTTTCCTTATGGATCATGCTTTGGTTTCATGTCTAAGAACTCTACCTCAGTTTAAGTCATTAAGACTGTGTCCTATGTTTTATTCTAAAAGTTTTATAGTTTAATGTTTTACATTTGGATATTTATTATTTCAGTTAACTTTTGTACAAAGAGTAAGGTGTAGGTCAAGGTTTATTTTTTTTTTCTTGCCTGTGGATGTTCAATTCTTCCAACACTATTTGTTGAAAAAACTATCCTTTCCCCCAATGAATTATTTTGGGTCCTTGTAAAAAATCAGTTGGGCATATTTGTGTGAATCTATTTCTGTGGTCTCTAATCTATATTTCTTTGATTGATGTGTCTATCTCTTCATCAATGTCATATTCTCTTGATTACTGTAAGTCTTAAAATCAAGTAGTCTAGTTTTTGAAACTATTCTTCTTTTTCAAAATTGTTTCAGCTATTCCAATTTATTTGTTTTCCATAAAATTTAGGATAGTTTTGTCTCTATTTACCAAAAAACCCTGCTGGGAATTTGACTGATATTAAATCTCCACTGTACATTATTAGTGTATAGAAATATGACTAGTTTTTGTATATTGACCTTGTATCCTATAAACTTGCTTATCTCACTTATTAGTTCTAGGAGATTATTTTAATGATTCCTTGAGATTTTCTACATGGAAAATCATGTTGTCTATGAAAGAGGATCATTTGATTTCTTCCTTTGCAATCTGTATGATTTTTTAGTTTTTGTAGTTGTTTGTTTCTTTTTTCCCAATTCCATTAGCTAAGGCTTCCAGTGTCATGTTGAATAGCAGTGGTGAGTAGACATCCTTGTCTTGTTCCTAATGCTAGAAGGAAATTATTCTGCCTTTTACCAACAAGATGTTAGCTGTAGATTTTTTTGTAGGCACCTGTATCCTTATATCAGGTTGAGGAGATTCTCTTCTACAATTCTGCACCCAGTTCTGATGTGTGTGTATTCTACACCACTAAGCAATTCTCTGACACCAGCTGGGCATCTTACATTTCAACTCAATTCTGACAGTCTATCTGGAGATAGAATCATATCCCATGGGCTCAGTCCCACAAAACTGCTCCCCTTCCCACTTCAGACCCAAATCACAAAACCAGGTTATCACCTGTGCATCTGACCAGCTGGCTACAGATTGGAAGTTGCAACAAACTCCTCCTCAGGTTTGACTAATTTGCGAGAGCAGCTCAGAACTCAGAGAAACAGTTTACTAGATTATCAATTTATTATAAAAGGATCTAACTCCAGAACAGCCAGATGGAAGAGATGTGTAAGGCCGGGTATGTGGGAAGGGATGTGAAGCTTCCATGTCCTCTCCAGGCATGCCACTCTCTCAGAACCCACCACATAGTCAACAACTTATTAGTTCTCTAAACCCAACCCTTTTGGGGTTTTACGAAACTTCATTTTGATGATGGAGCAAAAGGCTAGTTGAGGATAAATCACAAGCTGACACCCTGCAACCTACCCCCCACCCCCCGTGGGATATGTGTGGCATTCCTCCAGGAAACTTCCAACTATCTTAATGTTAATGGTTTGCTAGAGGGAAAAACAACCTTAGCTTGATAATAGTAAAGCCTCCAGTACCCTGAAGGTCTTCTTTAGCATATGAAAGTCCTTTTGGACACCTTCGTTTTTCCTTACCTTCCCCAACTCCCAAGTATATAATCAGTCATCCCTCACAATCCTGGTGCAGCAGCTCTTTGTGCTCACAAGTCCTGTCCCCATGCTTTAATAAAACCATCACTTTGCACCAAAGACGTCTCAACTTTCTTGGTCATTGGCTCCGGACCTCACCCCACCAAACCTCACCTACATTCCAAAACTACATCAATTACATAGGCATGTTGATTAAATCATTAAACCATTGATGATTGAACTGAATTTCTGGACTATCTCCCCAGGAGGTATGTGTGGGAGGGGGGGGAGTAGGGGCCGAAAGTTCCATTCCCCCCCCCTTTTTTTTAAGATTTTTATTTATTTGAGAGACAGAGAGAGAGCACAAACTGGGGGAGGGGCAGGGGGAGAAACAGACTCCCTGCTGAGCTGGGAGTCCCATGTGGGCCCTGCCATGGAGATCAGCAGGATGATCGAGGTGGGGATCACCACCGGTTTTCAACCCAGGACCTTGAGATCATGATCTGAGCCAAAGTCAGACAATTAACTGACTGAACCTCCCAGGTATCCCTAAAAGTACCAATCTTCTAATCACACTGTTGATTCTCTGGGCGACAACCCCTATCCTTAGGTGCTTTGCAAAAGTCATTCATTAACATAATGAGACACCTTTTTTGCTCTTTTCACAGGAAATTCCAAGGGTTTTAGGAGCTCTGCTAGGAACAAGGACCTAATACATATCATATTATAAATCCCAATATCGTATGTTCTGTTCTTAGTTTGTTGAGAATTTTTTCAGGAATGTGATGTGGGGGGGCACCTGGGTGGCTCAGGTCATGATCCCAGGGTCCTAGGATCGAGCCCCACATCGGGCTCCCTGCTCCGTGGGAAGCCTGCTTCTCCCTCTCCCACTCCCCCTGCTCGTGTTCCCTCTCTCTCTGTGTCTCTCTCTGTCGAATAAATAAATAAAATCTTAAAAAAAAAAAGGAATGTGATATGGGGCCACTGAGTGAATGGTCAAGAATTCTTGAGAGGCATTTTTGGTGCAAAAAAAAGGTGCCTTTATTATGGCACAGGGATACGACCCATGGGCAGAAAGAGCAGCACTGTGATTGTGTGGAGCAACTGATTATATACTTTTTAAGTCGGGTGGAGGTAGAGATAATAGAAGTCTCTAAAGGGATTTCCATATGTTAAAGAAGACTTAGAGGATCTTGGAGGTCTGGCTATTGTCAAGCTAAGGTTGCCTTTAGTCTCTAGCAAAACATCAACATTAAGGCAGCCCTGAGTTCCTTGAGGAATATCCACACACTCTGTATGTCTCAGATACTTATCACTGGGTTGCAAAGTAAGGAAATTTAATTTTTTTTCTACATTTTTCTTGCTTTTGTTCTCATCAGAATGGCTCTTGGAATTTGTCAAATGTCTTTCCTGCATCTATTGATATGATCATATGGGGTGTTTTTTCTTTAGACTACTAATAGTGAATTACCTGGACCAATTTCTGAATATCGAATCAGCTTGCATTCCCAAACCAAACCCCACTTGGTTACAGTGTATTATCCTTTTTATATATTGCCTTTCATAATTTGCTAATATTTTCTTGAGCATTTTTATATCGACTTTCATGAACAATGTTAGTATGTACTTTCATTTTTGTACTATCTTTGTCCAGTTTTGGTATCGAGGTAATGCTGGACTTATAAAATGCTGGGAAATATTTCCTTCTCTTTTATTTTCTGAAAGAGTGTTCAGAATTGGTATTTGGTTGAATTTGCCCATAAAACCATCTGAGTTTGATGATTTATTTTTTGGAAGGATCTTAACTACAAGCTCAATTTCTTAAATAGCTATAGGACAGTACAGGTTCTCTATTTTATCTTAGGTGAGGTTTGATAGTTTGTAGATTTTGAGGAATTGGTACATTTCATCTAAATTCTTCAATACATGTTTAGAGCAGTTGGTAGTAGTCCTTTTAAAGCCTGTGAAGTCTGCAGTGATATCCCCTTTTTCATTCATTCCTAAGGATGTGGTTTTGGAATATAGGTGAGGTTTGGTGGGGTGAGGTCTGGAGCTGATGACCAAGAAAGAATTCTTGAGATGTCTTTGGTGCAAAGTGATGGTTTTATTAAAGCATGGGGACAGGACTCATGGGTAGAAAGAGCTGCTGCACCAGGATTGTGAGGGGTGACTGATTATATACTTGGGAGTTCAGGGAGGTAAGGGAAAGAAAGGTTTTCAAAACAACTTTCATGTGCTAAAGAGGACTTACAAGATACTGGAGGCCTTGGTTTGTCAAATTAAGGTTGTTTTGCCCTCTAGCAAGGTATTAACACAAAGACAGTTGGAAGCTTCCTGGAAGAATGTCACACATATCCCACCCAGCAGTGGATGGGACACCCTGAGGTTGCAGGGTGTTAGCTTGTGCTTTGTCCTCAGCTTGCCTTCTGCTCCTTACTAATACTGGTAATTTGTGTCTTTTCTCTTTGCTTTTCAGTCCTGTTAAATGCTTGTTAATTGTATTAATCTTTTTGAAATACTAGCCTTTGGTCTCATTGATTTATGTTGTTTTTCTTTTCTAATTTCATTAATATCTTTCTGTTGGACCTATTTTTATTTTATTTTATTTATTTTATTTTTTATTATTTATTTATTTTATTTAGGTTCCTGAGGTTTGTTCATTTTTTTCCCAATCTTTTTTCTGTTTTTCAGATTGACATAGATCAATAGAATCTAGCCCAAGTTCATTGAGCCTCTCCTCCCTCTATTTGCTATTGAGTCTATCCAGAGAATTTTTTACTTTGGTTGCTGTAATTTTCTGTTATAAAATTTATACCTAATTCTTCCTATGTACTCTATTTCTTTGCTGAGACTTTCTATTTTTAGCATTTCTTTCAAAGTATTCACAATTGCTTGAGTAATTTTATAACTGCTGACTTAAAGTCTTTGTCAGATAATTCTGTCATTTTTGTTTCTATGCATTAGCATCTGTTGATTGTCCTTTTCCATGCAAGTTGAAATTTTTGTGGTTCTTCATATGCTAAATAATTTTGGACTGTATCCTGACATTTTAAGTATTATGTTTTGATACTCTGAATCTTGTTTAAATCCCATGGAAAGTGTTGTTTTTGTTTTAGCAGGAAATGGATCTGATTGGGTTTAGGCTAAAAGTTTCAACCTGAAGGCTATGTATTCAGTATCAGTTCAGTTGTCAGATCTTCGCAATGCTCTTCATGTCTGTCATGGCTGTGTATCACTCAGTCTGGAACCCAGCACTGTCAGTGTACTCTATCCAGGTGATCTATCCATTACTTTAACTGTCAACTGCTACTTATGATATCATGTACAATTCATGGCTCAGAAGAGAGCCCTGGAGCTCATAAACAATGGTTTATAATAGCTGTGTTCATTAACAGTTGCTTTTCTAAGCTCTTCCATCTCTGTAATCTCCCTAGGACTTTTTGATTTCTTAGATCTCTCCTTTTCAGTCTTCTGGCCAGAAAATTGGGACTGTATTTCTCCTACTCAGCTACACACTTCCATGACTGGGTCTGAATTCAGGCCAAATGCTAGGAAGATAGAGATTAAAAATCAACAGGGATTGGACCCACCATATTCGTATCAAAATCAACTACTGCTCCCTCTTGACAGGATTACCTGGGGGCTGGGGTGTGAGAGAAAAAAATGGAAGATTAAATCAAGGGCGATTTCTGCCTTTCTCTCCCCTCCCACCCGTGTGTGTGTGTGTGTGTGTGTGTGTGTGTGTGTTAGGAGTTAGCTTTCCAACTCCTCAAGCAAGAAAAATTAAGATAGGGGTGCCTGGGTGGCTCAGTCATTAAGTTTCTGCCTTCGGCTCAGGTCAGGATCCCAGGGTTTGAGCCCCACATCAGGCTCCCTGCTCAGTGGGAGGCCTGCTTCTCCCTCTCCCACTCCCACTCCCCCTGCTTGTGTTCCCTCTCTCTCTGTGTCTCTCTCTGTCAAATAAATAAATAAAATCTTAAAAAAAAAAAAAGAAACAACAACAACAACAAAACTAAAGTATTCTCCTGGAGCTCTTCTGTGCCACAGTGCTCACTTCTGAGTTTCTGGCTACATTGAGTCTGACTGGGAGATACTGCAGGAGAAAAAAAAAAGTAAACTCCCTACCAAATTGATGGTACTTTTGTTTCTGGGTTTTTCCCGTCAGCCTGCTATTATTTACTTTTCAAAGTCCTCAGATAGCTATCTCATGCACTCTGTTCAATTTTCGTAGTCATATACAGTCGGAGTAATGGGTGGGAGCTTATTCTATCTTATTCAGAAACTGAAAACCAGGTTTAGGAATTTATCCTAAGGAAATAAAGTGGTGTACTGAAAATTGTTACAGTAGTCCCCCCTTATCCACAGTGTTGCTTTCTATGGTTACACTTATTCACAGTCAACCAGGGTCAAGAAGCTGATGATGATCATCCTTGGGACATATTGTCAGAAGGCCAGTAGTAGCCTAACACTACATCACAATGCCTATATCATTCACCTCACTTCATCTCATCAGGTAAGCATTTTATCATCTCATATCATCACAAGAAGTACAACAAGATATTTTGAGAGAGAGAAACCACATTACATACCTTTAATTACAGTATATTGTTATAATTGTTCTTTTTTATTATTGTTGATCTACTGTGCCTAATTTATAAATTAAACTTTATAATAGGTATGTATGTATGTATAGGAAAAAGCATAGTAAAAGTTTAGGTACTATTTGCAATTTCGGGCATCCACTAGGAGTTTTGGGATGTATCACCTGTAGATAAGGGGGTCAACTGTATTCAAGGATTTTCATTACAGCCGTGTTTAAAATAAATATATAGGTGGGTTATTCAGTGAAAGCAATAAAATCTGTTTATTTTAACTTAAATCTAGCTGATTTAAGCAGATGCCAAGGAGGATAAAAATTAATACCTATTCTTCTGAAACTGTCCCAAAAAATCGAAATGGAAGGAAAACATCCAAATTCATTCTATGAGTCCAGCATTACCTTGGTCCCCAAACCAGACAAAGACCCCACCAAAAAGGAGAATTGCAGACCAATATTCCTGATGAACATGGATGAAAAATTCTCAACAAGATACTAGCTAATTGGATCCAACAGTACATTAAAAGGATTATTCACCATGACCAAGTGAGATTTATTCCTGAGCAGCAGGCATAGTTCAACATCCACAAATCAATCAACATGATACACCATATCAGTAAAAGAAAGGATAAGAACCATATGATCCTCTCAATAGATGCAGAAAAAGCATTTGACAAAATACAGCATCCTTTCTTGATAAAAACCCTCCACAGTGTAGGGATAGAGGGAACATACCTCAATATCATAAAAGCCATATACAAAAAAATCTATAGCAAATATTCTCCTCAGGGAAAAACAGAGCTTTTCCCCTAAGATCAGGAACATGGCAGGGTTGTTACTCTCACCACTGTTGTTCAACATACTACTGGAAGTTCTAGCCTCAGCAATCAGACAACAAAAAGAAATAAAAGGCATCCGAATCAGCAAAGAAGAAATCAAATTTTCAATCTTCACAGGTGACATGATATTCTATGTAGGAAACCCAAAAGATTCCACCAAAAAACTTCTAGAACTGATAGAGGAATTCAGCAAAGTTGCAGGATATAAAATCAATGCACAGAAGTCGGTTGCATTTCTATACACTAACAATGAAGCAGCAGAAAGAGAAATCAAGGAATCGATCCCATTTACAATTGCACCAAAAACCATAAGATACCTAGGAATAAACCTAACCAAAGAGGTAAAAGATCTGTACTCTGAAAACTATAGAACACTTATGAAAGAAATTGAAGAAGACACAAAGAAATGGAAAATCCATGCTCATGGACTGGAAGAAAAATATTGTTAAAATGTCTATGCTACCCAAAGCAATCTACACATTCAATGCAATTCCTATCAAAATACCATCAACATTTTTCACGGAGCTGGAATAAACAATCCTAAAATTTCTATGGAACCAGAAAAATCCTGAATAGCCAAAGGAATGTTGAAAAAGAAAACCATAGTTGGAGGCATCACAGTCTGGACTTTGAGCTGTATTACAAAGTTGTAGTCATCAAGACAGTATGGTACTGGCACAAAACAGATACATAGATCAACAGAATAGAGAACCCAGAAATGGACCCACAACTTTATGGTCAACTAATCTTTGACAAAGCAGGAAAGAATATCCAATGGAAAAGACAGTCTCTTCAACAAATGGTGTTGGGAAAATTGGACAGCCACATGCAGAAGGAAAACAGACCACTTTCTTTTCTTTTTTTTTTTTAATTTGTCAGAGAGAGAGAGAACACAAGCAGGGGGAGCTACAGGCAGAGGGAGAAGCAGGCTCCCTGCTGAACAAGGAGCCCAATTGGCGACTCGATCCCAGGACACTGATCATGACCTGAGCTGAAGACAGATACTTAACTGACTGAGCCACTCAGGTGTCCCAGAAAATGGACCACTTTCTTACACCATACACAAAAATAAACTCAAAATGGATGAAAGACCTAAATGCAAGACAAGAAACCATCAAAATCCTGGACGAGAACACAGGCAGAAGACATGAACAGACATTTCTCCAAAGAAGACATACAAATGACTAACAGACACATGAAAAAATGCTCAACATCATTCAGCATCAGGGAACTGCAAATCAAAACCACAATGAGATACCACCTCACACCTGTCAGAATGGCTAAAATTAACCACTCAGGAAGC